ATATAAATGTACATGTATATATATATGTATGTATGTATGTATGTATGTATGTATGTAAGCATACATATGTATATATATATGTATGTATAAGCATACATACATATAGATATGTAAAGATGTATATGAATATGTATATATGTCTATATGTATATATATACGTATTACTACACATACATATGTACATCTATATGTATGTATATATATATATGTATATGTGTGTATATACATACGTGTATACATGTACATATGTATGTATGTATATATATATATACATGTATATATATATGTATTATATATATATACATGTATATGTGTATATATATGTAAATACATGTATATGTATGTATGAATGTATTATGTACATATACATATACATATATATGTATATGTACATATATATACATATACATACACATATATACATATACATATATATATATACATATTTGTATATGCGTATGTTTAAATATACATCTATATACATACATACATATATATATATATGCTATATATATATATACTCTTACTCTCTCTCACATATATATATATACATATATATATATATGTACATATATATATATGTATATATATATGTGTCTATATATATATGTATATATATATGTATATATATATGTATATATATATGTGCAGAAATGGCTAGGCAGAGCCCAATATGAAGAATACAATATGAATATTGCCTTTTTGCGTGAGGCTCTAAAAAACGGCAGGCGGAAATGGCCGGGCTGCGGGCGGGAAAGGGCGGGTCACGGGCGGGAATGGCCGGGAGGTGGATTTGACGTGTGTGTGTCTGGCCGTTTTTGTTCTACGTGCGCACAAGCCTATACAAAGCTTGCATTCTTCATATTCGTTTGTGCTTCTTAACAGATCGAATCCATGCAAGAGTTCCCACCCATGGCTCCATCTCAGGTGCAGCACCAGAGAGAATATGAAGAATACCATTCTTCATAATGCAATGGTGCTACCTTGCTGCCAGACTGGAACCACTCCCGGACAACGTGAGTCTTCATATTGCAGACAGACTTGAATCCCAGCCCACCCACCTACCTGAAAGCCCAATTTGAAGAATTACATTCTTCATATTGTCCCCTGTTTCTGCTTCGATCCATATATATAGTTAAATTAGAATGTATATACATGATATGAAGAATGTGATTCTTCATATTGTGCTCGTCTGGCTTCTCTGTTCCCTGCCAACCATCCCCACCCCGGCTCGCCAACCCATATATGAAGAATGGCGACTCTCTGTACTCATGCAGGCATTTAATAGAATGGTCTAGCATATGAAGAAAGCTATTCTTCATATTGAGGCTCTGCCCTTGGCTGGAATCCCCCCCCTTCCACCGAAAGCCCAATATGAAGAATCACATTCTTCATATTGTCCCCGGCCTCTGCTTCGATCCATATAGTTAAATTAAAATGTATATATGCATAATATGAAAAATAGCATTCTTCATATTGTGCTCGTCTGGCTTCCCTGTTCCCTGCCTGCCCGGCGATATGAAGAAAGTCATTCTTCATATGCTACATGGTTTTCTGGATTCGCCCCCGCTCCCTCGATCGATCTGTATATACCCTATTTACTATTAATTTATATATATATATATAGAGTGTATGTATACGACTACTTCCAGTAATTCTTCATATTGCTGCTCTCGTCCTGGTCCTGGGCCGATCGATATTGCCAATCAGCCCCAATTTGAAAACTTGCATTCTTCATATTAATTTGCTGGTCCTGCTGAGATATCGATCTATATATATATATACATATATATAAAGATATATATATGCGTATATACATTGTGTAGATAATATATACGTATCCAGGTAGATATGTATATGTAAATATACATCTATATATATATATATATATACGTACGTATATTATATATAGAACTGCAAATAAAAAAATTAAATATATATATATATATGTATTATATTATATTATATACATGTATATATATATATGTATATATACATATGTAAATATATGTGTATAAATATATATGTATATATAGATATACATGTATATATATATATATGTATATAACTGTCTCTAGTTCGTCTATACGTATCTATACATACACAATTCTACGTGTGTATCTATATGTGAACATATACACACAACATAGATGTGTATATGCATATCTACATATCTATATATTACTATATATCTATTTCGTTTTCACGTATACACATACACAATTCTACATGTGTATCTACGTATACGTATATATACGATATATATATATATACACGTATATACGTATTTCCACACATGTACATATATGTATATATATATATACATATGCAGTTTTGTGCCTCTGTGTCTATCTATGACGTATACATAAGAAAGAGAGAGGGCTATGTACGTAACACACATATATGTAAATATATATATATATATACAGATGTATACATTGTGCAGTGTCAGCTACAGATCGAAGGCTACTCTCCGAACAGGTATAATTCAGTTCCTCTGGGCTCCTGATCCATGGTTGGGTTGCCACCTGGATCTGCTCAGCCTGGGCAATCACGAGCCACTGATGTGCATCTCTGCAAAGAGATTCTGGGAGGGACCGGGAGGGACGGGATCGAGAGATTCATACGTCTATGTATACATAAGCTTGGAGAAGCAAATGTGTACATAGTGTCCGATGCATTTCTGTTTTGGTTGTCCATTAAGTGCAAATGGGGTGTTAGCTAGATCGGATGCTAATCCAGATCTTTGTATGGGGGTGGGCATGCTGTCAAAGCAATTGAATACGATCTGTGGGCATGCACTGACAAGGACAGGGTGCAAACAAATGTGACTTCAAGGGGGGGAATGTATACTGTCTTATGCAATCTTCTACATCTGCTCGACAATTCATCAGGTGTGTCGATTTACATAGTCATTGCAGGGGTTACAGTCATCATCGTCTTATTGAAACACGAGGAACAGCAATGCAGCAGCACATGGAAGGGTCCGTACTGAGGACCTGCTTTGGCACTCTTCCTGTCACTCTGTTGTTGCTAGATGCTGCTGTGTACTCGAAGCTGGCTCGATTGGAAGTAGCTGCTAGGGTCGATCCCTCGCCTATATATATATGCCGCTGCACCGTGAGCTTCGCTCGAACATGTACAGTACGGAGACCCTCGAGGATGGTGAAGAGACGCTCCGAGAGGCTCCCTGGAGGAAGCTTTCTGCTTCTGACAGGACAAACATGCTAGCGGAGCTTCGGAGGCTCGAGGAGACCCGAGGGTTTGACACTGCATCTGTATACAACTTAAAATACAGGGCTAAGTTTGAACCTGAAGCAACAGATCCTGGATAAGCCCTCGATCCTTGTATATGTATTCATGTGTTTACTCCCTTACATAATAATGTTCTCCCTGGAGACACACCTGTACGCTGTACGTGCTGACTAGCAGATACTAGTCAGCAACAAACTAATTAAGAGCTTATATAATATATGTGTATATGTGTATATATGTACATAACCCCTATAAACACCTACAAACCCTATAAACCCCTGTATATATATATATAGATAGACCCGAAACCCTATAAACCCCTGATTAAGAGCCTATATATATATATATAAACCCTATATATATATATAAACCAATATATATATATATATGTAAACCCCAAATTAAGACCCCACACCCTATATATATAAGCCCTATAAACCCTATATAATCCCTATAAACCAAAACCCTATATAAACCCCATAAACCCTGTGCTTCAGGAGCTGAAGAAGACCTTGCTTGCGCGGCAGCGGATGGCCCAACCTGTCATGTCCTACCCAGATCCTCCTGAAGCCCGAGCCAGACCCCCCAGCCCTGACTCCAATGCCAGCCCAGCATCCAGCCAGGCATCCCAGAAACCGCAGTCCAAGGACTCAGCAGTTCGAGCAGGGATTCTTCCCACGCCTGCGCGCTGCATGACAGCAAAGCGAACACCGGCTGGTGAACCACAGGTGCCCGTTCTATTCTGTGTTGATGCAGTACAATGTCTAGTATACGTCTAGTACGCAGATACATATATATGTGTACATATATATATATATGTATGTACATGTATGCATGCATGTATAGTGTAGTGGATGTTAACTCAGGGCTGAGACCCTGCATGCGATTCAGCTACATAGACAATCACGCAAACACATCCAGACACGTATAATGCATGTATTTAATAGAGAGTTCGTTACAGAAATATATACAGGTATATATGTATCTGCAGATATATACCTATACAGAGATCAACCTGTGTATATCTATACACTTATAAGCATGTATATACGAATCTGGTCTTGTCAACCTGTGTCTAAACATACTGTTATACGTCTGTATATATATATAGCTGTATAGGAGAGTCCAAGCAGACCGACCTTTCTGTATACATATATATATATATATCTATCTATATACATATATATATATAATATACATATATATGTATATATACACATATGTGTATATATTCATATATGTATACATTATATAGTTACATGTACACATGTATACAAATCCATACATACGTATAGACTTGTAAGAAACAATACATGCGCACACACACATGTTTGTATGTACATCTATCTGTATATATATATATAGAGGCATGTATGAATGTAATGTATATATATATAAGTGAACACATCTCTATACGTGTGTGTGTGTGTGTGGATATGCATGTACAGACACATTGTGTAGAAAATACATGCACAAATATAAATAAATATATATATATATATATGTATATATATATACACACACATACATATATATGTGTACATATATGATACATGTATGCACAGATTAAGTATTGATTGTGCATGTTTACTGATTGCACACCTATATAATCTTGTATATGTATACATATGCATACATACATATATATATATATGTATGTATAGAAATAGTATTCTTTATTGCATGTATAATCAGATCTGTATATACATACAGACATATTTATATGTACATGTATATATTCTGATATGGAAGCATTGCCTCAGGTGCATCGGTTGAGCACAGCTTCGACTGTGCCTGCGAACTTCGAGGAGGACTCCGAGACAGGTTCTGTTCCCCCGAACAAGCGAGGCAGGAGCCCAGTGAAATCCAGACCAGCCAGGGAAGATCCTAAGCAGAGAGCCGAGATGTCGCAGAGCCCCGTGAAGCCAGGACCAGCATCCAGACCAGCACAGGGTGATCGTAAGCAGAGAGCCGAGTCGCAGAGCCCCGTGAAGCCAGGACCAGCGTCCAAAGCAGCACAGGGTGATCGTAAGCAGAGAGCCGAGTCGCAGAGCCCGGTGAAGTCCAGACCAGCGTCCGGACCAGCACAGGGTGATCGTAAGCAGAGAGCCGATCCGCAGAGCCCCGGGAAGTCCACAGCAGCACCGGGTGATCGTAAGCAGAGAGCCGGGAGGTCGCCTAGCCAGGAGAAATGGTGGCTCGAGCAAGACGCTCCGAACGCCTCGTTCGAAGCCTTCCTGGGCGTGGGCGTGAAGGAGAAGCATGCGAGAGCCGAGAAGTCGCCTAGCCCCGTGAGGTCGAGACAGGCAGTCCCTGGTTTCATATTAAATTTCATTGTGTCTGTGTGGGTACTTATACATGTATACAGATATGTACTTGTGTGTTTATATATATATATATACAGGGAGAGAGAGAGAGAGAGAGAGAGAGACGTGTTCATGTACTCTCTTTGGTGGGAAAGTGACAGCTTGCAGGCTAAGAAAGAGGACGTGTCTGACATGGTGGCAGAGTGTATGGAAGCCATGCAGTCGGAAGTTAAGTTGAGCTCGGTGAAGAAGCGCATGGCCCGAATGTTCGCGCCACGAGTGGACGGGACATTCTTGGTTCCGAAGGAACTGGTGGACCAGTATAAGGACGTGAACCTGCTTCCCGAGCTCGAGAAGGAGTTCATGAAAGCTGGCTTGGACAAGGACCGAGCCAGGGGGACTGCTGCTCTTGGTGTGTGAGTCTTTTCCTTAATTGTGCTTCCTAATATAGGACCTGTTCATTAAGCGCTCCGTCAAGAAAGTGACGCGACGAGAGTCCGAGTCGGAGCTTTGGGTGTCTGGACAGTTCGTTTCGGATGCCGACATGGATGAGCTTGGCATGACGGACAAGAGGAAGAAAGCCGTTCATGGTGAGTGTGCCAAGATGCGGGGCTGGATCAGGTGGGACTGAGACTTGTCTCTAGACCTATAAATATACCTATCTTTGTATAAAGAGCAACAAAAAGCTAGAGAGAGAGAGAGAGAGAGAGAGAGAGACAGAGAGGGAGGGCTGAAAAAGAAGTGAAGATACGATGGGAAATCAGAGAGAGAGACAGAGAGCACAACAAAATGTAAAAGTGCCCTGCATGTGCTTTATACATGTACATGCATAACAGGTACATGTAAAGAAAGAGTCGAGAGTCGAGAAAGGGACAGGAAGTACAGACACACATAAATGAATATAAAAGAATATATGTGCACTTGGTATGGACAGGTGCTGCCATACTCCGGGTCGTTCCAAGAATAGCACTTGTGTGTTCTTTCTATATACCGGGTTATATGTGTGCATATATGACTATGTAGACACATATATGTATATACTAATATTTATTTAAGAAGATAGTTACATTTCTTCATAGTCTTCTTATGTGCATCAAATAAACTACTTCTCTATCTGTGTATGCATTAATGTATAGATTCTAGACATGTATGCTATGCATACATATACATATACATATGTGCATATATACATACACATATACATACATGCATATCATATACAGATACATATGTATATTTCTATGTATGCATAGCCTGTCTAGGTATCTACATACCTATCGATCTATCTATACCCGTCTGCACCTATCTATCTTAGTTCAATACATAATTTGTGCATGTGTGTTTGCATATACACATAATCAGTTAGTTGCTATTCACTGCATTTGCAGAGCACATCGTCCAGGCGCGACCGGTATGAGCCTGACGTGAAGCTCTACTGGCTGGAGAAAGCGGTGGAAGGAAAGATGCTGACTCTCGATCTGTCCTTGTTCTTGTCTCATTAACTCCCACCCTGGAACTCACTTCTATGTCTGAATGCTGAACCTGAGGGGTATTTCTGTGGGTACATGAACTGACTTAGTTTGTACTCTCTACACAAGGAAGCGCAAGCGCGAGATCTACGAGGAAGTCGACAGTGATGCCGACTACGAAGGCAGTGATGTGGAGAAGGACATGGATGTCTTCGACATGTCCTGGGGCCTGGGTGAAGGAGGACCCAAAGGCCCCGTTGCACATATTCCTATGTTGAATCGTATTACGGTTTGAGTGGGTTCCAGCACTTGTTCTTTCCATATTTCTCTGTTTCCCTATATATACTGTAATATGTAGTGTGTATATATATATATACATGTATGTGTTGTAAATATACATGCCTCTCACTGTCACTCCTTTCTTTGTCCATCCTGTCCCTCCCTCTCTCTGACACTGTCTCTCTGGAACTAGTACTAGTACTAGTGCTAGTAATACTACACTGGTACTGGTACTAGTACTAGTACTACTACTACTACTACTACTACTATTACTACTACTACTACTACTACTACTACTACTAGTACCAGTACCATTACTAGTACTAATTCAAGTATTACTATTACTACTACTACTACTACTACTACTACTACTAGTACTACTACTACTATACTACTCCTATACTGCTACTAGTACTACGACTACGACGACGACGACTACTACTAGTATTACTACGACGACTACTACTACTACTACTACTACTACTGCTACCACCACTACAACTACAACTGCAACAACAACAACAAC